GCTATACATCGTCAGTGAGCAGGCGCATGGGTGAATCTATTTCCGTCTCTTTCGCCATCTTTAGAGTACCGCCCCGCCAGCTATAGGGCGCTGGAGTTGCGAATGGTGCCGCAGACTTCAAATAGTGTCCTATGTGTATAAATTGTCCTTGCTGTAAATAAAATTACTCGTATAATAAAAGTATGAATTTATATATTTTAAAAAAGGAGATGGACGAGTAATTTGCGAGTAATATCATTCCTCTTCGAAGCAATTTGTCTTTGTAATGTAGTGACATTTTGTCGTATTATGTAAAGATTTAAGTGAGGTATGTTAATTTGAAAATAGAAGTAATTTTTCCCCCCTGATGAATGTACGCAAATAAGGGCAGCGCAGACAATTGAAGCTATACCACGGTCAGGCTAGAATGAAAAGGCACGCGTTTTTATGACTTCATTAAAAATAAACTTTTTTTTTAATTGACGCTTGGTGGTCTTGTTGACACCATAGACTTATTAAAATGTACGCTAAAGGTCCAACTGGCGCTAGTGTCCGGTTTTAAACTGAAGCAGACAGCAAACATTCTGGAATTGACTTCCGGTAATGCATCTTTACGCGAAAACATTTGTGATTTTTTTTTCCTGCGCTTGATTCCAGAGCGCTAATAATTCATACATAATTAAGGTGTTAAAATGGCTTCGTATATGTCTTTATTTAAGCTGTCCGACACCGTTAGAGTGAACACGGCATCGCAGATTTTCTGCAGGGGGGGTTTACGTGCCGAAGAGATGTAGGGCATCTCGAAAGTCAAGAAAGACGTCAAGAGTCAGGAAGTACTACGCACTTACACTCTATCAGTACCCAGTGCGTCACTACAAGAGGGGTGGAGGGGGGGGGGGGGGGGGGCGACAGCCTTGGGTACAGCGCTCAGCAGTGTGCATCTGGGCAGTGAACAGTGGGGAGGGGTGGTTCGCAGAGGGGCCACCGCCCCGGGTGCCGTTAACCCTAACGACGCCACTTTCAGTACCTAGCTGCAGCGGCGTAGACTTTCCATTTTCCCGGGGGAGGGGGAAGGGGGCAGGCTGAAAAGTTCTCCGGGGGGGGGGGAAGGGTTTCCGCGCAATTATTTTTACACCGGCAATTATCAGTAGTTTATTTTAGGGGGTACATTTTACAGCGTATGTATATCGCCATGTGTCCGTCGCTGTATGCGTTATTTTGTTTACATGTCACTACTCGTTACATGGCATGTAAACAGCGTCTCGGTAAGGATCATGGTCCGAAGGGAAGGGAGGGGGGGCACGAGCCCTCATGCCCCCCATAGTCTACGCCTACGCCTAGCTGTGCATGTAGACAATCAAAATAAAGTAAAGCCAAGTAATGAACGGGATTTCTAATCAATAGCATTACTTTAATTCACTCTGTTGCTCATGTTGGGGGATCGGTGGCCGAATGGGCTAACGCATACCAGCTCGGAGCACGTGGAGCGAAAGCTCTCGCTGCAGAACCCAGGATCATGGGTTCAATCCCCACCACTGCCCGCTTCGATCTGGATGAGCATCGTACCGGCGTGCGGTCGTGTTTCACCGTTGCCTGGTGCACGTTAAAGACTCTAGGCTAGCGGATGTACTGCACATGCTAAATTTCTCATCTACAGCTGCGAGACAAGTTGCTCATTGAGGCAGGCTACGTTATGAACATACACACACCCCAATTTTGTCTTCCCTCTGCTGCTCACGTCTAGGTAGATAAATACTTTTTTTTTCTAGCCTTCGAAACTTATATCCGAATGCCTAAAAGCATTTAAATTGGGGGAAAACAAGGCAATTCTTACCACCTGATAAATTTAGCACAATAAAAAAGAGAAACGCATTTTATAGTGCGCTTACTTTTACTGTTGTTTCACACGTATTCACCGATCGTAAACTTGGGTCATTTTAGTGGCATGTAAATCTCACAGGTTATCACTATTAGCGTCACCAGGATGTTGGGGCTTCTTGACAAGACCTACGTTTTTTTCGACTGTTACCCTTGCTTAGATTCGCCGCATGCCTTTGCACACGGGACTGGGCCCGGAATACTAGGAAGTTAAACATCGCTCATTGATTGGGAAAGTACTGTAACTAAAGCGATTTCACTTTTATAATCTTAATAAAGTTACCTACTATTCGCTACAACCCAAGTAACAAAGGTGATTCCTGTGGTTTTCCGGTGAAATAAAATGCACGTGCTTTTTCTAAAAGGAATGGCAAAAGTGAACTGGTTGTTTTATCATTTAGTTTAAAACCGGGAGCTACATAGACACTTGCGCCAGCGGAGCCTCTAGCGTGTATTATAATAACTCTATGGCTGCTACCTCCTCCTCCTGTAATCGCGCCCCCACGCGGTAAAAAAGTGAGATCAAAGGCCGTAATTAATTACGCCGCTGTCTCGCCCGGCCGTGGTTATTAGTCTTCTAGCCTTCGTGTTATTCACAAGCCACATTCCCCGCTCTACGAAAACTGCAACTTTATAAAAAATATCGAACACAATATTATGAACTACTCATTAAGCATCACTATATTAATTAACTTATTAAATAATCATTTCTTCGTCTATATTTTTCAGTCATTAATATTGCGAACTGAGTAAAAGCCAAGGATGTCGACTCGTCTTGAAGCAATATTAACTACATTAATATTCTAAAAATAGCACAATGTATGCGAACTTTCAAGACAAATGCCGCAAAAGCAGGACGGTTCAGGAAGAGCCCTTAGGCTTGATGAGTTAGAAAGGAAGCTTGTTATGAATTTCAGCGAGTCTGCCGAATTCACTCCACGAGCTCCAGTTGTCCTTAGCCAATCTAATTTCACCCTTGGAAGACCACTTCGCTAATGACGTTAGTCCAAAGTCCGATTTTCAAAAGCTGCCAATCCAATTAGATACTTTGTCCTGAAATCAGTTTTTACTTGTCACGGTGCCGCACGTGAAAGACACTTAGGGCGCTTCGAACGTGTGGTTTCGTGTGTGTTTGTGGCTGTTCGTAACTTTCAAAGCACTCTTTTATGTCAAGAATTCCTAATGTAGTTCGGCTGAAAGCCTCCGTCCGAACATAACATGGGTAGAGTGCAGCAATAGTAAAATTACCCGGATGATTTTTTTTAACAATAGTCAGTTGACTGTTTGCATAGGTTTTTTTTTTGTTTTTTTTTTTTTAACACGTGAAATTTTTTTACTTTTTCTAAAATGATGTCTTTGCCGCTGTCGTTTTCTGATACCCACCGAACAGATGACATTTAGGGGGAATTTTAAGACAATGGATATCAAATCAGCTCTGAAAATAAAAATGGATTCTGACTGCAGGCCGGAATATTTTGGTGCTGCGAACCTCTCTCCACTTATATATTAGATTATTATAAATGGGCGCTGCCTGCTGCGCAAAGTAGAGTTTGGAAACACAAAATTAATAAGTAACATCGTTTGGGCTGCTCTGCGACTTTGAATTATTTTATAGTCGAGAAAAAGATCCAAAAAGGGACCGTACTTCGGACTGGGACATGACGCTGAGGAGGCCGGTTTAGCCGCACGAGGTGTTGGCACCGAACCTGACGTGTACAAATCACTCAAGAAAGGTAGTTAAGATAGTGAGTATCGACGCCCAAAGTAATTGGAGTAGAGTATAAATTACGCATTTGTAATAGTAATTGAGTGAACTGCTAACTACTGTAAAAAATAGCGACTTATTCTTGAAGTTACTTTCGATTTTCTTTTTTATATTTTTGTGGTAGCAAAATGAACAGCAGCTTTGATCCGTGAAAACCCCTGCAAGCTTAAAAGAAATGCAGTCATTTTATGGCTCGCGTTTTCACCAAAATAGTTTATTCGCTCGCAGAAGCAATTGACTTTCAAAGTTCTTATCGGAGAGTTTTCCCCTTTTCCTTCTAAAGACGTCCTCAGCCAAGCTAAAGAGAAATTCCACCGGCGCTGGATGGAACAGCAGCGTCGAATTTCAGGAAAAAGCCGTGCATGGTCAGGTACTTCAGGACGTCCTTCACATCTTTATTGTCCGACTGGAACTAGAGCATGACGTCCTGGGCTTCTGAATCTCGCCTGCCGTGGTCCCCCTCGTCAAAGCTGGAGAAATCTTTAGGCTCTCCTGTAGCTGGGGAGTCTGAAGTTGCGCGGTGTTCCCGTCGGAGCAGGCGAGAGACCTCAGTTTTCAGCGACTGGATCACCCTGTCACGTTTAGCTTCCGGTACCCACTGCAGCTTAAAGCGCGGGATGAGGACAGCGCTTATCGCCAGAGCGGTGTCGTCCATCGAACCTGCGAACCTGTGAAGAGGGCAAAATATTTAACGTGCTCGTTGGGCCAAGGTAAGGAAAGTCACATAACTTCTTGCGCCACAAAGTATCACCGGTCTACCCTTTTTTCAAGGCGGTCGGTAATTGCGCTTTTTAGCGGCCTACAATACTCGAGGAAGGATAGCGCCGCTATTCTGCGACTCGTTGCAGTTACTCTGGGCAGCAGGTATACCCAAGATACATCATGTCACCCGCTTGAAGTTTTTCCAGCGCGTTGGCAAGCCGCTCCACCACTTAGTCAGAACGACATACCACATTCGTCACAGTGCATTTCAGAAGAGTATTAGCGCCGAGATGTTTCGGTGGCGCCCTCTTATGGTTTCTCTTCGTGACGTCACGACTGGGATTTGCCTCGCCGTGACGTCACCAGTTGTTATTCTGGCTACTTACCATCGGGTGCAACAACGAGTTCGATGGTGTGTTTAAAAAGCACAGTAAAAGCTAGGAGCCATCGCAACCCGAAACTGACACCGTCAAAGTTGACAATCTGACAGTACTCATATGCCCAAGGTTTGGCCAATCGTGGAAAGCTGACCACAGCGACGCTTTTGGCCGCGCACATCGCTAATACTGACAATAAACATACCTCGCAGTACTCGCTTATGAAATCTACTTCTATCGGGCGACGAAGGATCGGGGGTTTCATAGGCGCAGGCACAGCTCGTGACAGTTATGGTGGCTTATCCATTTCCAATATCCTTGCAGCATCGCATCGCGTCGCACCGGGAATTCCAACGCGTGGTGTTGAGGAGAACAAGATGCCTGCGTCATTTAATCGTTTCAGCAGCGTTAAATAAGAAAAAAGTTAATTCGAATATACAGGGTGCTTTTTTAGACGGGTCGTATTTTTCTGATAAAGCCATGAAAGTTACACCAATGTTGTCTTTGCAGGTGAGTTATACTGCTTGTGGGATATATCATGGGGGGAGGGGGGCGAAGGGGGGGGGGGGCTATAGAAAATAAGCATGGTCAGAAACTTGCTGAGCGTTATGAAAAACTCCATTGGTCAATTGAAGAAAGATATAGTGCGCTTTCAGCCGTTCCGGAGGTGCATCCAAATTTGACGAGTGGTAGCTTTAGCGCACCGCTGTGCCTACCACATACTCGGATGTGTTATTTTTTGTGTGTGTGTGTGTGTGTGTGTGTGTGTGTGTGTTTAATTTCATTATTTGATTTTTTTTAATCTTTTTTACTACTATGAAGTTTATTTAATATATCTTAGAAAATTATTTGACTTAAGTAACACTTCGACCATAGTATGTCCTATTGTTGAATTAACAGCCCAGAACCCATCAGTGTAGCTTCCGCATCTGTTTATAAAAACTGTAAACTCCCTTAAAAAAAACTTTCTTTATGTTTAGGATTTGTTCCCAGGGCAATTTGGGTGAACACTCACCTTCCGCAGAGGTCATGAGTTTCATCCGCCGCCAATGTTGATTGGTTTTGCTTGGCCCAGAAGCTCTGGCACTACCGAAGACCGACTGACTCAATGTTTACAAGCTTCAGCGTGTGCGTGGCGCACCTTCGATGGGCAGGCAAACGGAACGGCTGACCATTCATTCTTCAGAACTAACGCCAAATCCACTATGTCTAACTAATCACTCTTTTCGTCAGAGTGGCCTTAAACTCTGAAAAAAAGATGCAAACATTCAGTCCGTAATAGTGTTCTATATAATTTAAAAGTACTGTACCGGAATGCCTCGAGGAAATTCGAAGTATTATCCGTGATCACCTCGACCACTTTGGTGTGCACCTTGTAATCTAGAAACATTTTCCTCTAGCTCCTCAGCAATCTTTTCATATGTCATGCTGCTTCTTTGTCTTCTGCAACACAGTGCCGCCGTCTTTCTTTCCAGTATCAACGGATCAAGCCACAAGGCGGTGATCCCGAGGAACGCACTAAACATATATGAAAAGGAAAGCCAGAAAAACGGCAAAAAACTGACACCTACAAATGTATATTTTGCGCGTTCTTTTTTTTTTTATCGTTTTTTTTTTTTTTAATTTAACGCAAGCTGTGACGTTTCAAACAACGAAAACACGTTCGGGAGCCTCTTCTGCATACTCGACGAGCGTATACTTTGTCCCACCCGCTGTTCTTCAACATGTCTAATTACAGCAAACAGCCGGTATAATATAATTTAGTGGTCATGTATTTCTTTGTCTTTCCCTTGCGTTCGTGCACAAAGTTGAAAAGACTAAACTCCTATTTTGAGTTTCAACCTCACCGTTCAGTGGGATGATTCATAAGGTCAAAACACTTCTTGATAGGCCCCAAACGAGCCAAATTATTGTATGAAAGTTTAGACAGCACTACGTCAGTGCAGCGCGGCAACTAGCCTGCGATTTTTCATTTGGACCACGCTGTAGTGATTATTGGAACACATGCCGGTGCGAAGCTCATCTATAGTCGGTTGCAAGCTAAGAAAAAACCGGAAATGCCTCTCAGAGGAAAATGTAATCCTACGCCAAGAAACGCCAGCCAATTGTTTTCATGACGTCACGATTCCGTAGACCAATCGCAATCCTTTTGAAAAAAAAAAAAAAAAATGCTCAACATGGCTGCATGCCTTAGCAACGCGACGCTATAGTTTCTCGTGACAATTACTCTGCTTTTTTGCACAGTGTTTTACGTGCCCGAGGTTACGCCACGAAATCTTAATGGTATCGGCCTGCGTTTGCAGCAGTTTTTGCGCGACAACGTGAGAATCCAGCGACGCTATCGCCAACGAAAATTTCGAAGCGGGCGCGAGGCTCAGCACTGCTGAGAGGTATGTTAGACGGTATGTTAGACAGTATCTTGGACAGAAAATGAATTGGGAAGACGGTACATTGGACATGACTTTCTTTCTTTACTAAACAGCTATTTCGTTGACAAAAACGTATTCTAACCCATTTAAATGTCGTGAATGAATTAAATAAATATTGTAGTAGTTTAAGACACGTTTCCTGGAGGAAGAAAAAGCAGCGTTGCTAGCGAACTACTTTCTCGACGGCGGAGGCACTTCAGATGGGCGCAATGCGCTTGTGGGTGGAGATAAAAGATTGTTCTTAGGTTGCATCCGACTATAGTTCGTGATCGTAGGGCAATGGGGGAGGTTATAAACTCAGGATCCCCGAGATATGCCGCCCGCCAACGGTGACCTATTGTTTGCATGGCCTTGCAACCCATCGTTGTTTTCTATTTCCAGTGAAGCTCTATCGGTCAGATATGCCGCCCGAAATTTCGATTCACGTGCTTTCAGCTGCAGTGTGTTAGCCCACTAAGATCATCCACGTGCGCACTGAGGTTTATTAAACTGTTTAATACTGTTTATTGCACTGAGCGCTGTTAAAATTCTACTATGTGTATTTGAAACATTATAAAATTTCAACAGCGCTCAAAGACGAATGCGGAAAACGTTGTGTTTTATCACTTCTTTTTTTAATATAGAAGCTCCACCTAGAAAAAGCAATGTAAACTGTTCACTCGATTCTACTGATATAATGTATTTCTTTTTTTTTTCTCTTCTAAATTAAATAATACAAGAGCAGCCCTTTTCTTTAAAGAAATACATGTATTCGCGCTGAAAATAGTATAAAGCGATCAGCTGTGGTTGCCCCCGATGAACTCCGCTCTCCCCAACTCGTCCAGTAACCGCTGTTTGGTCTTGACAGAACGGGCAGCAATGCGCTCCGTGAGCGTACGTCTCGTCAGTGGAGTCTTGGTCGACGCAACCCGTGTCACCATTTTGAGGAAGTCTTCGTGTTCGACGACAAAAAAGGGCTGCATCGCCCCGAAAAGAAAGTTTTCGACGACCTCCTCGTAGGATTTCTGGGTTATAACTCCGGAATGAAAGCCATCCAGTTTCACCTGCTTGGCCTCCCTTTCTGCTTCAGGTCGCGATCCAGAGTCATGGCATGCCGCTCGTTCGCGAATGCCGCTGTCCAGCTTCGAGTGTTGGGTAGGGTGCCGCGACTACAATTGATGACATTGTGTCAATTGAAGGTCTCCCAATAATCTGGCAAAATATAACCTTATTTTTAGGTTCATTAACTAAAGAAGTTAGGCAGCACTAAATTGTCATTATCTCGCGAATAGTAACGACGATCATATAGCGACTGTAAGTGCTATTTGCAGGTTTCAAGCTCAAAAGTAAAATAGTTTAAGCAGCCGTCAAAAGGTGCAAGCGTGAATCTAACTTCATATTCTATTGGAGCGGCAATCACAAGCACTAGCCAAAGCGTTCGTCTGTTGCTGTAAAAGCGGAGTTTCACGCGTAGCTCAAAACAAAGTAGAAATATCGCTCCCCTTCATGTGTTAGAATTTGACCTCTTACATGCAGCCAGGACCTTGGTTTTCGGTAGGCGTATTTTACATTTCGCTTGAACAGACGTTTTTGTCTCAGAAACAAACACAAAAAAGGCCTGAAATTTGGCCAGGGCAAGCGGGTGTTGACATTTTCGGTGTCCATGACGAAACATGTGAGGTCCTGCCTCGCCCCCCCCCCCCCCCCCCCCCCCCTAGAGGGTCTTTCATAAAAAACTCCTCCTTTTTCCTTTTTTCTTCGGCAAGTTGAGATTGTTATCACTGGCCCCTCTTTATTCCCACGACATTCGAAGAGTACTCTGAGCGAGTGCACCTGACCGTCAAGGGATGGTGGTGGTGTTGGTAAAAACTTTAATTGAGTCTGTTCAGTGATGAAGCCCCCGGGTCAGATCCCCAAGTCCAATGCCCCGCAGGCCAGCGCTACCCGTCTAGCCTATTTGATCAGCGTTCGCTGCCGCTCGGGCCGTGAGCCCAGTAGAGCGGCCTCCCAGGAGGTCGTAGTGGCGTTAGGAACGGGCATGAATCCTACCCCGAGAGGGGAAGGACATGCCCAAGTACAGTGGTAGATGGACGTCAAGGGATCAAGTCTCGCACCACGACGATGAGATCATCCGGATGACTGCGCGTATCGTTGCAGTGCTACGCTACTGAAAACAAAAATGTTTTGGTTTAACAGAAGATGAAACGAAGTATACTTCGTCGCTGACGCCGTTGTCCAACAAAAGAATCTTCCAAGGGTGACTCGCAATCCTCGCCGGCGCCTACGGCATCCTGACGCGCCTGATACGCCTGGCAAGTAAATCGTTCCCAACAAAGAGAAAGTCTCCCTGGCGTGAAAGGTTGGTTGGTTGGTTGGTTGATTTGTCTATGGCGCAAAAGCTACTAGGGTTATAGAGCGCCGAAAACAAGAATATTGCTGGAAAAGCTTTAGAGAGAAAAAAGAGGCTTTAGTAGCCAGTGATTAGACAAAAGATGGTAATGGGGTACCAAAAGGTAAAAGGGTGATGGGCATGATCTGTAGGTTAAGAAACCTACAATCGGTGTAGAAGGCCGATACTATCTAAAAATTTAAAGACATTAGAGTGTGTCACAATAGAATCACCACTTAAGAGCAGAGCTGTGTGTAGTGGGACTTGTTCTTGATACAGCTGCGAAAAATAGAAAATACGTTCTTCATGATAAGCAGGACATTCAACTAAAATATGTAGAATGCTTAAGGCATTGTCGCACTTCTCACAAGTGGGGGCATCTTCCCCACGAAGGAGGTAGCCATGAGTCAGATGAGTGTGACCAACTCCGAGCCGGCAAAGGACAACGTCAAAAAAGCGTTCCTGGTGGCGTACACTCTGCCATTCGCTCAAAAGAGGTTTGCATGGAAGGTCGAAATGACGCGAAGGATGACATGAACAACCATCGTGGCTCGTACGGTTGCAGCTAAAAGCAGGAACGTGCTCCCTTGAACGAATTATCCATGTCTGCGTTTCTGCGCGGGGGGGAATCCAGCTTTCCAAGGGAGTGTGCGCTGACGACAAGGTGACCATGGGAACAGTTGCCCAGCTGCAAGGTCCTTTCAGTGGCATCTCCCGTGGACCCCCAAACCGTTTAAGGTGCAACCCCACCGTGCATGACGTTTTGGTGCTTTTTTTTGACGGCTTATAACTTTCGTTCTATGCACCTTACAATTATAAAGTTAATGTCAAATTAAAGAGCTGTTTTTAGACGATCCTTTAATGTCTCAAAATTACGATTATTTTTGGGCGTTATTTATTTATGTTTTAATAGACCGCAGTCTCTAATGTTGGAAAAAATATTTCTCGAGTTATAACGTCCCATTGTCCACGATAATTTACGTGAAAGTTTGGTTGCATGTAATAAACTAAAGAAGTAAACAACGAACTAAATAGATCATTTATATTTTAAAATAAAAAATAAAGTTTAAAAATGGCATTATTTTATGGCGCTATAAAAACGGAATCACGTCAACTAATCAAAATAACGAGACATTAAATTATGAAGCATCCTTCGATATTAAATTTTCCAGAACTTCCATATTGATATACTACACGCTAAAAATGTTATAAGACCTCAAACTTTTGCCATTTAGTTACGGCAAATTATAGTTTCTTAATATAAAGTACAGATGGCGACACGTGTTCAAGAACAGCTTGATGTCAATCTTCCGTCGTGTGCCGCTTGGAACGCCACGTGAAAGACAGAAAAAGCGCCAGATGTCAGGCTGTCAGATGCCTGGATGTTCGCAGTGAGCGAGCCAGAGCTGTCAGAAACAAAAGCGCGAGGCTGCGGGTGCACCACAGCTACTTTTGCGCGCGTTATATTGTGCGTCGGTACACATTCCCGACGCGATCCAAATGAAATGGGCGCCATGAAATTCATTCTGCCATTTCAGATCCCGCCACGTATGCGAAAACATTTTAATGTTTTTATCACTTCGAAACACCATTTTCGCAATCAAACTATGCTTGTCGGAATGGTTTGACTATGCTTTGTTTCAAAAACCACCTCGGCGGCTCTTAAGTGGCAATGATATTAAAATAAAACACAAAACATTAAATCTTCTCAGTGTCTCTGAGCCAACGCGCTAGCCCATGAATCCACATTTGTCAGGTTTAAATATCGGCCGAGGTGCCCGCAATCCGACGGAGGCCAATCTGAGATTTCAATTGCACGTCAAAAGATCTTTCATAAGTCAACATAAACCCGCATTTTTTCTTTATTGGGGCGTGTTAAGTGATTTTTGTTGGTTTGGCTTGTGAAACCATAAGATCTGATTATTTGCTTCGCATTACCTTAGTTCGGAGCGCAGCCAACGCTACGGGCTGATAAAGCCGCTGAAGCAGCGCCAAGAGCGCGAGGTCAAGCTGTTTGTTCTCTTTCTGTGCCTATGCGGTCGGGCTAAACTAGAACTAAGTAAGCTACGCTTCATAGACATCTTGGTGCTTAAAATAATGGTGGTCAGTTATCTGAAGCTTTTGAAATCACAGGAAACGCTTTTCTATCCTCCACAAATGTTTAAACAGTTCGCGACAAAGCAAAGCAATTTTACGCGAGCTGCCTGACACCGAAACTAATGCTAAGGAGGTCGCACTTTTGAATCATGACAATCGGCAGTTGCGTTTGATTGTTTACTAACCACCAAGATTGCGGCGCCCACAATATTATCGGGGAAAAAGTGCCGATACTCTAAGCGTAGCTCATTTGGTTGAGCTATGGTTTAGCTCACAGGCTAAACCAAGTGCGGCGGGGGATCGTTGGCCTAGGGTGCCTCAATGACCTTCTGTTTAGAGTGATGCCACCCTTTGTAGTACCCGATGCCGACAGCACGCGCTCACGGGGAAAATACAAAGAAATCGACGAAAACAAAATGTCGCCATAGCACAGTCAGCGCCACAGACGCGCGCAGGGACACGCTCTTTCGCGCGCTTCTGAACAAGAAATAAATGTAAAAGTGGGAACAAAATGGCCAGATGTATCCACCCCAAGCAAAGCGCACATGAAGGCACCCTACGTTGGCCGAGTGTGTAGTGGCACCGCAGATCAGAGCACGTGGAGATATGCTCGAGCTCCCTTCAAAGCACGGAGCTCACGCTGCGGAACCCAACGTTGGCAGAACCTGTAGAGACTATACTCCGTTTCACCTTATGTCGTACCGCAGAGAAGGCTAGAAGCGCGAGCTCATAGCGTTGGGAGCTGCTCTTGACGCACGAGAGCTTGTGCCGCCGAGGTGTGCCCTAGAGCAAGGAGCTCGCGCGTGTAGCCTTTCCTGCGGTACATCATAAGGTGAAACAGAGTATAAATCCCCTCGATGTGTTTGCTTTAGTCTTTCAAATAACCTCAAAGGTGCCGGCGCACGAGGCCCGTGTCTCGAGCGGCCCTGGAGGTAAATGTCGGCGCAGCACTAAAATGACTGGCCCTTGAAAGCGAATGGCGGCGGAGCACCCGCTCATGGCGCGTGTCTTGCGCGTTTCTACAATAATTGGCGGTACTTGTAAAAAACGCCTTTATCAAGGGGCTTTAGCAGGGACCTTGGGTTCAGTCGCCCATCTGCATCCTACCGTCGTGCGATCGTGTACCACATATACTGCGTAATACACGTTAAAGACCCCGAGCTAACAGTTGTACTGCACTTTTTATAACCTTCAACGGGTAACAATGTCGCCCTACGAAACTGCTGCTCTGCTAAAAAGCTAACGACTACAGGTTTTCCCGCTCATTTTAATCCAAGCGACGACCAATTTAATCTTGGGGTCACTCAATTTAATCCAAGCGCCATTCAATTTAATCCAAGCGCCACACAATTTAATCCCGGGGTCAGTCAATTTAATCCGCAATATATATATGCACTTATTGTGCTCACTTATCGTGTTTCGCTTACACATTATTAACTTAGAACAATTCCTTAT